ACTTGCTAGGTCAACAAAATTGTTTGAGGCAAAGTGGTAACATGATTAAATGGCATTCATGTTGGCCATGGCTAGTTTTAGTGTTTTAGCTGAATAGTGTATGAATAAATGTAGAAATCCACAACTTTAACTCTCTTACTAAGCACAGAATGTAATAGATTTAACGGAACAAGCTCAACGATACTGTTAGCTTTATGTTAAATGAAAAATCAAATTTATTAGTGCACTGGTTGAGGTATTAAAAGAAGCCATCCCCCTGATTCACTTTTTGATGTTTAACAAGATAACAGCTCTGTTTTGGTACTGGAGGTACCCCCCCACCCCCACCCCCCATTGACCTGTGCTGCAGTTCCTCTGCCTGCCCTTTGGCCACTCGTCTCTTGTGCTGTGCAAAAAGAGCACTTCACACTTCCCCAGTGAAACCAGAGCTTTCCCTTCAACCTCCTGCCTCCCCATGTCCTTTGGGCTATTTTTACTCCAGCAGAGGCTACTTTTGCTGAACCCATCCCACAGCTTACTGAACTGGAGCTGAAAATGTGTGTGGTTTCTGTGTGTAGGTGTGTGTACAGTATACATGGGTGTGTAGTGAAACCTAATTTTATGTTCACAGAATAAAGCTACTAAATGTAATTTGTTAGTACTTAATTAAACTTGATTATAATACCTTTCTGCAGCATCGCCACTTTCTGGTCTTTTTTGGTTTATCATTAAAACTGTTTTTAATGTTGATATATGATTTTCTGTTCTACAAGCTCAGGTTCAAACAGCACCATCTTCACATTCAATGCATTTGAGAAGTTGATTTTTTCCCCCTATTTTGGTTCACGACTTGTCATTGAGAGGTGATAGGGTAATCCTAAATCCAGACCAGAGAACCACTGATTTAGGCTTTTTTATTTGTTTACACTTTGTTTCAGTTGTCATTATTTGTTCAGCCTTCCTGGATCCTCAGTGTCATTCACACCTGCCATGCATCTGTTATTTAGACTCAGTTGTCTCCACTCAGTGTCCTCCCTGTTTAAATGATCTTATTTATCTTGTTAGTTGTCAGATTTTACTGTTTGTGTCCAGTTTCCAGCTCTATCTTGCTCCTTATTGTTTGGTTTTGTAATTGTTTCCACTTGATGTTTTTGTTTATTTTTTTATTTCTTTTTTTTTTCATTAGAATGCTGCTTTTCCTGCTATTACTCAATCACTAGCCCTCCATCCAACAGGTTCAGACTCTGTCATTACTGCTGAGTCTTACCCAAACAATGTGAGAGAAGTAATTTCAGGCTAACACAGAAAAAGATTCATCAGCCTTTAACTGGCTTTAATTTGAAGGTCACACCTCGCTTCATCTGGTAGTTTAGCCAGGCCTTGTAGCCCAGAGACCAGCTAGAACCAAACAATCACACCTCATTTTGGAAGCTTTCCTTCTTTATGCAGCCAGTTCGGATGTTATCAGTCCATTAAATGGACGTTATTAGCAGCTATCAGTCCCATAGAATGGCTTTCGACTGTCCCAACAGTGCCCCTTAGTGTGTTACCAGTGCCATATAAGGCAGGTAAAATAAATATTGAACACGTCAACATTTTTCTCAGTAAATATATTACTAGAGGTGCTAATGACATGAAATTTTCACCAGATGTCGGTAACAACCCAAGTGATCCATACAMACAAAGAAATCAAACCATAAATGTCCAGAAATGAAGTTATTTGTAATAATGTGGAATGGCACAGGGAAAAAGGATTGAACACATGAAGAAAGGGAGGTGAAAAAAGGCATGGAAAGCCAAGACACCAGCTGAACTCTCTCAGTAATTAGAAAGCAAGCCTGCCCTTTGTCAGTGCAAGTTAATATCAGCTGGTTCAGTCCCAAATGATGGCCAGGTATCACACAAGAACCATCTGATGATGGGTAAAAGTAAAGAGCTCTCTCAAGACCTTCACAACCTTATTGTTGCAAAGCATAATGATGGCATCGGTTACAGAAGAATGTCTAAACTTCTGAAGGTTCCAGTGAGCACTGTTGGGGCCATAATTCAGAAGTGGAAAGAACATTATTTCACCATAAACCGACCACGACCAGGTGCTCCTCACAAGATTTCTGACAGAGGAGTGAAAAGAATTATAATAAGAGTTGTCCAAGAGCCAAAGACCACTTGTGGAGAGCTTCAGAAAGACCTGGAATTAACAGGTACTGTTGTTTCAAAGAAAACAATAAGTAATGCACTGAACCACCATGGCCTGTATGCACGCTCACCACGCAAGACTCCACTGCTGAAGAAACAGCATGTTGAATCTCCTTTAAAGTTTGCTGCACAACATTTAGACAAGCCTGTGTAATACTGGGAGAATACAGTCTGGTCAGATGAGACCAACATTGAACTGTTTGGATGCCAGAATACACATCATGTTTGGAGGTCAGATGGCACTGCACATCAGCCCAAAAACACAGTGAAGAACAACAGTGAAGTTTGGAGGTGGGAACATCATGGTGTGGGGCTGTTTTTCAGCATATGGTACTGGCAAACTTCAAATAATTGAAGGAAGGATGAGTGGAAAAATGTACAGAGACATTATTGATAAAAATCTGCTTCCATCTACCAGGATGATGAAGATGAAACGTGGCTGGACATTTCAGCAAGACAATGAGCCCAAACACAAAGCCAAGGAAACTCTCAGTTGGTTTCAGAGAAAGAAACTAAAGCTGCTGGAATGGCCCAGCCAATCACCTGACCTGAATCCAACAGAAATCTATGGAAAGAACTAAAGATCAGGGTTCATAGAAGAGGTCCACGAAACCTTCAAGATTTGAAGACTGTTTGTGAAAGAATGGGCCAAAATCACACCTGAGCAATGCATGCCACTAGTTTCTCCATACAGGAGGRGTCTTGAAGCTGTCATTGACAACAAAGGCTTTTGCACAAAGTATTAGATAAATTTCAGTAAGTGTGTTCAATACTTTTCCCCTGTGCCATTCCACATTATTACAAATAACTTCATTTCTGGACATTTATGGTTTGATTTCTTTGTATGTATGGACCACGTGGGTTGTTACTGACATCTGGTGAAAATTTCATGTCATTAGCACCTCTAGTAATATATTTACTGAGAAGAATGTTGACATGTTCAATACTTATTTTACCCGCTGTACATTGGAATGCAATGATCTGCTACCGCCGTTGTCCTCTCTACTTTATTGAAGCCTATGTCATTTTCTCAAAAATTAACCTTAGTGGCTTTATGCCCCATATTAATCAGATTGCATAAAAAACCTTAGTGGTTTTATGCCTCATATTAACCAGATTACATAAAAAACCTTAGTGGTTTTATGCCTCATATTAACCAGATTGCATAAAAAACCTTAGTACCAACCAGCTGACAGTCTGAAGCCATTCTATGGGACGGAGAACCCAACTGGCACAGTCGGGACAGTCTGAAGCCAGCCTGAAGCCATTCTATGAGACTGATAACAGCTAATAACGTCCATTTAATGGATGATAACATCCAAAGCGAGTGCCTTATGATACATTGCACTTGGAACACGGGTTGAATGAGTTCAGAAACCAGGAATTATCTTCTAGGATGTTGTCATTTAATTGTTGGGCTAAAGATCACCTATTAAAAACCTCAAAAGTTGGTAGAAGTCCTACACCTGACAGTTTACCACCATGGAAAAACTTGTGACATTACACCTGACAGTTTACCACCATGGAAAAACTTGTGACATGCTTGAAGAGTCAATAATAGAATGTCCACAGCTTGTAAGGCTTTTAGAGACTTTTTAAACGAATATTGGCAAAGCAGTGTATAGTACAGAGCTCAATTCTGCTGCTTAAGCAGATTAAACAACATTTAGTGAAGTCGCATCAATCAGTGTGAAATATGTGCCCCTAACCAAGGCTGCGTTCAGTTAGGAGGAATATTTGAATGGAGCTGGAGGATATGTAGGATCTTTCATACCTTATACCTGAAAAGTCCAGCATGGGTTTTGTGATTCCTGGTTTAATCCACTAAAGGTTTTCTACCACAGGTACTTTTTAATCCACAAAAAAGAGTTTTAAAACTTGATGCTCAAAACTTCAGCTCACAAGCTTTCTAAATCTCCAAAATACGATATCTTCAGTCTAATAGGAAAATCACAGTTAATGTTTTCCTCCATGTTGAAAGTGGTTGCTGACTGCAGTGTGTAGCAGACTCCGCTCACGGGTCGGTTAGTGAAACCCTCACTGATTGGTCGTAGGGCCAAGCGACGACGACAAAAGTTGAACACTTCAACTTTCTCGTGTCACGTCACAAGCCCACGCAAACACAATTGAAATTTCTCATAAACAAATTTCACCGGGCCTCTTGGCTGGAGGAGGGCAAGCAGTTGTCGCCTCATCACACGAGTTCCACAGGAAATAAATGGAGAAGGAGCAACATTGCCTCCTGCCCATTATGATATGTGAGGTTAATTAGTGACTTTAAATAGACAATAAGTGAGAAAGTGACCTTTTGGCACAGTGCACTTGTGTGGCTGAAAAGTGTTTTCAAAAGCTGGCAGAGACAGCTCTAGATAGTACGCTCTACACACACACACGCACACACACACTTATCCCTGTTTGGTTCACGACTTCCCTAACAACTCCAGCTGTGCTTAGTCTTCCATGGCATTGTGTTAGTGCACAGCAAGAGTGAAGCCCTCTCTGACTCCAGCTGTTGCACAAGGTATTCTCACTTTTGCCAGAAGACTCAAAAAAAAAAAAAAAAACAATGCCAAGATGAATTTACACTCAGTCCTCTTTGATATATTCATCATGGGTGAATTGTTATATGAAGATCTGAACAGATGCCATATATCAGCTCTAAAACATTTGTCACAGAATCAGTGCATGGATAGATTGCAGCAGTATTTTGAAACACTTCCTAAGTGCTACATTTTTCCTAACTTTTTTTTATCTCCCTCTTTTCCCTTGTGTCTCTTCTTGCCTTTTATCTAATTTCTCCTCTCCCCCGCTTTCTCCCCCTACAGTCAAGTACATCAAGGAGATGTCAGCGTTCTTTAAAAGCCCTGGTTCCCCTGGAGCCTCCCTCCCATGGGATTCTCCTCCTTCCACACCTCAGAGGGGCACTGAGCCTTCCCCTGCTGAGGTGAAAGACCCTCGCAGCATCCCTCTGAAGATGTGCCAGGTGTCACGGAAACAGTGCCCCCCAGACACAGAAAACAGGTACTACACATGCAGCACTTTCTCTTTGATGTCATGTAATCAGATGCCAACATAAAAGTATCAATGTGGTTTGAGAGATTATTGTAAAGTGGTGTTTTATTAACTCGCTCACATATTCTCTGTGTTAATATATGAAACCCCCTTTCCCCCCTTTAGCATTGCCATTTGTCTTTTGATTCTCTAACAGGCAATTTCTTTTCTATTTCCCTTTGTCTCCTTTTCCTTTTCTCATCTCACTTGTCAGGTATTTTGAGGTTGTTTCATTCAACAGAAAGAACTCCGTGTTTCTGCGGGCCAAAGACCCAGCTATGGCTCAGTCCTGGTACAATGCCATCCAATCTGCTACTGCAAACCTTTTACCACATGTAAAGGAGGAGGTGAAGCGAATGCATCCTGGCATTGAAGTCAAACATTTGGGCTGGCTTACAGAGCAGGTATGGAGGAATGGTGTAATAAAAGGCTAAAATTGCCTGGTTCCTTCTCTTAAAGTTTGTTGAAAAGTTCTTGAAAGTTCTTGAAAAAACACATTTCAACAGTTCTGAAAAAGAACGTCGTGTTCATGCGCTTCGGTGTGTGTCGAGAACAAGGGAAAACTACAGAAATAAGACTTGAATGTCACGTGGAAGAAGAAATCCATACAACTGCAGCTAGCTGGGCCAATCACAGACATTTATTGTCTCTGCAAATTGGCCCCAAATCAAGAAATACAATCTTGTTTTAAACACCATCTTTGGAGTCTGGCCCCGCCCACTTCAAAACATTACACTGGTGGAGGAAGTCTCCCTAATCACATGACCAGATTCTCACACAACCTTCCTGCCCACTGATGTGAAAAATATCTGTGTGGTCAGTATAATTTTTGTTTTCAATTCAATTTTTTCAATTCCAAAAATTTTTTTATTTCATTAAAAAATAAATATAATATAATCTTGTATATATACACGCATGTTCACAACCGCTCTCAAACAGGTGTTCTGATCCGGGGGGTTCTGACTGGTCACTAAGTGTGTATATATGTCTGTGCGTATACAGTATATCTACAGTATGTATGAATGTAGGCATGTATGTACTGTATATCTTTATAAATGTATGGGTATGTGTATATATATTTATGCATGCCATCCATATATTTTTAGGTGAGTGGACAGATGTTGGGTGTGTGGTCCTGTGTTTTCTTGGTGTATATTTAATATACTTCTAATCTTTATTTCAATCTTTCTAATTACTTATCTCTTTGTTTTTTCCCTCTTTCTCTATTTTCTCTTTACTTAAAAAAAATCACTGATGATGAAGAAATTAAGAAACTAATATTAAGTTCTTTTTACTACTGAAGTGATTAAAAAATAAAAAACACAAAAATAATAAATATACACAATAGAAAACAAAGAAAATACACAAATCAAAAATCAAAATAAAATGAAAGGTAGCAGAAGAAGAATAAAGCTTATAATGTCTGCCCTTTTTATCCCCAGAATATATTCGAACAAAACATAATTAGGGCAAAGAGAGCACATTCTGTTTGAGTCAACCTTGACATGCCACTCAAACCAGATTGTACCTCAACTAAATCACAGTTTCATGATAAAAAAATAGATGATTAGGCAATAAGTAGTAATCAGATTATATTCTAGTTAACCTAGAAATAAAACAGTGTGATTAATGCAATAAATCAGTGATGAACAGAATAAATTTCCTTGAGTTCTGTTTCATTATAGACATATGTGACTGCACCGGTTATAAAAGAGGACAAAAACATAGAATAATCTGTACATCTAACCTGTTTTAAGCAAGAGTTTGACTATGACACGTTTCTGTCCAGGTGTCTCAAGGTCCAGAGAAACCTGTCCTGGCAGTGTTGACAGAAAAGGACCTGCTCCTGTACCCCTCCTTCCCTGAAAGCAAAGAGAGCTTCAACAGTCCCACCAAAAGCCACCCACTCATCACCACCAGGTTCACATGCAAAATGCTTTTATGACCATATCTGTTTACACGCATGTCAAATATTACATGCTCGTGTTTAAGCTAAGCAGATCTGTATCACACCATGAGGAACTTTTTTTATTTTTCCCAGTGGTTTGTTTTGGCCGAGTCAAAGAGTTCCTATTCACACTTTCCATAACTGAACAACTGGACATTCTGTCCCATAATTTGGAAAACATTAGTGGTAGAACCTGTGAGTCATGTATGTTTTTCCTTTCTATTCATTCCCCACGTTTCCACTTATGCAGCAGTTTTTTTTTTCTGGTTATAATCTCATCTATAATCCCTAATTACCATTTTAGCCACAGTCTGGTCATAATTTCCCTTTTTTTATTTTTTATTTTTTTCCCTAAAGACTGGTTCACTCTGGCCCAGGAAAAAGTTCTCCTCTCCTGGATTCGGAGCTGTCATTCGGCCTGCGTTCAGGCACCAAGCAGGGCGTAGAGACTCATGTGTTCAGGGTGGATTCTGCCAAGGAGCTGTCCACCTGGACTCATCTGCTGGTGGAGGGCTGCCACTGTGCTGCGGAGCTTATCAAGGAGGTCACTGCAGGTACACGGAGCCACAAATTCACAGATTATTATTATTATTATTTTAATTTTTATGGTTTCATGCCTGCAACTGTTTCCTCTATCTTAAGTGGGAAATGCAGAATTTTCCATGAGCTGTTTCTGGTCTCATGAGACTGCTCTTTTTTTTCTTTTTCTGAATGATATCCTTGTTTCAGTGAACAAAGAATGCTACAATCAGGGTTCATGATGCGATTCCAAGAAAGCAAATTTTTTTTCCAGATTGTTACAGTTTTCTGCAGAATGATCCTAATATTTATAGAAGACTCACATTTAGGCTTTTTTAAAATGTATATCTTTGGATATTTTAGTGATGACAGAACCCATTTGTCTCTGTTTGCTTGTCTTACATCGTTTTGTTGTTGAACAGAACTTCATGCACACTCAGCACAAAATCATTGAACATGCAGGGGTTCAGTTAAACTCAGACACAGTGATGTTGTCTTACTGCCCTCTGCTGGTGGCATCAGGTGGCACACAAGCTGGCGTCAAAAAGGGTTTTGTTCACTAAAATTCCAAATTTTCTAATAATAAAAATGAATTTAAATCCCACTTTTGCCCTCTCAACAATATGAAGCACAGCTGAAGCAGACAGTCTGAAACGTTTGAGTCACTGTTCGCTTTACTTCAGCTTTTATTAAACTGCTGTCCTTGCTCTCCGCTGCAGCCTGCGTTTGGAATGGAAAGGACTGTTCCCTGGGAGTCCACATCGACGACGGTTTCACGCTATTCACAGAAGAAATGGGTGTCAGGAAAAATATTCTCCTGCAGCAGCCTTTCGAGCGCCTCCGAATGTCCTCAGATGACGGAGTTCGGATGATGTTCCTGGACTTTGGAGGCCCTGAGGCTGAAATTGTGAGCCACACTCGAGCTACTTTATTAAAGTTCTGACACGAGTTGAAGCATTTTCATCATAAAGTATGAAGGACTGAACACATGATACACGAGAGGAAAGTAAAAAGCAGCCCCAAAAAAGAAAAAGAGAAATAAAAATGGAAATAAATATTGAACAAGCTACTTTAAAGGCACAGTGTGTAGGATTTTGTCAATTCTTTTAGCCATAATCACTAATGACAATAATAAAAAAACATGTCTAATCATTGCAGACAAAGACCTTGTTTTATTATTTTACCTTATAAAAAGCTGTTTATATCTCCATGGTCGCGGGTCGAGGTACACTTCGCTGCAGCATGCAGAACGGGGCGGTGACAGACCTTTCCGTCAGTCCCATACCTTATATGGAAATGGGACTATTGCATTCCAGAAATGAAGGCTGCTTCTTAAAGACGCGGGATTAAGAGAGCAAAGGAAGAAGAAAGGAAGAAGTTAGAGAGTTTCTTCTACTCACGTTGAAGTACTCAGAGCATTATTTATTAATTTCTTTTATCCACCTCCCCAAACACAGACCCTCAGGTTAACCTCACAGGTTTAATGCCGAAGGTTAGTTTGTTACAGTAATATAATAATAATATCCAAAAACAACAAAGATTTAATAAAGATTTGAAAATGAAAAAGGGACACACCACGTGACATAACATGTTGTGTAGCCATTTCCTTACTGTAAAATTTCTTTTTTTTTCTCTTTTTTTTAATTAAACAACAAAGAACACACAAAATGATACAATGTACAAACAATAAGGCGTATTTCAAACAAATAAACAAACAAACTTGCATAAAAGAGAAAAAGGATGGGTGCAAATAAAGATAAGAAATTCCTTACTGTAAAATTTGTATTGTTAATGTTGAAAGTGTTCGATAGAAAATAGTGTCACTAGCGCCCCCTTCATTTCCGGAATGCAATAGTCCCATTTCCATATAAGGTATGGGACTGACGGAAAGGTCTGTCACCGCCCTGTTCTGCATGCTGCAGCGAAGTGTACTTGCGCGGGTCGCCACTACAGGCAGCCGCCATCTTGCACCGCCATCTTGTCTACAAAGGCTCATGAAGGACAAACTGCGGTGGCGGTGTCAAATACGGTTTTAGTTGTAATACTATAAATGTAATATTTGTTGTCTGTCATTGTAGCTGGGATAATTTTACTCATTAAAGCTCATAATCTTACCACTTGAAACTTCAGGTTTTCTGAAAGCAAAGCACAGAAAGCAGTGTGACTTTAACAAAGCACATTTAAGGGGAAACATGGTTTATATTTTTAACTTCTCACCTGTCATAAAATTGCTCACGTCATCCTTAATTTTTTTAGTCAAATGGGTAAACTCCCTTTACTGGAAAAACAAAACAAAACACAAGTTTGACTTAAAATTAGAAAAAAAATAATGACTGTGACATTGATATATCTAAATTAAATCAATTTCCATTAAACTTAAATTGAGTTTCTCCATATTTATTGCAAAAGGTAGTTAGACTGTGCAATAAAAAAATCCATTGTTTTCCAGATATTATTCACAACTGGAAATTAAAATCATTATGAAAATATGTTGATTTGTTCTTCTCTCTCTCTCTCTCTCTCTCCCTCCCCCGTCAGCAACTGGACCTGAAATGCTGCCCGAAGACCTTAGTGTTCATCATCCACTCATTCCTGTCTGCTAAGGTGAAGCGACTTGGCCTCCTGGCATGATGAAGGCCAGCCATCCAGAACATCAAAATAGGAATATTCAGTGAAACATACCCCAGCCCCAAATGGCGTTTGACGACGAGGCCCAGGAGTTGATGCCGGCAGGACCATCCTTTCCAGCCGTCCGAGGCCTCTAAAGCTGATCATGTTTGGTCAGGCATCCCGTGGTCTTTCTCGCGAAGTGAAGAAAAAAAAACAGAAACTTGGATGAACGTTTGCTTAATTTGTAATTTTAAAGTAAAAATCTGGTTTTTGTGTGTGTTTTTAACAGATTGTACAAGTCAGAACCCATTTGAAGGTTCTGATATCTGTCAAAAACTGTCTAAGTGGAACACATTATGATGGCAGACTGAACATGACAGCTTGTATCTTAATGGGTTTTATCCTGAAGTTTCAACTTTATTTCTTGTTTTCTTTAGTTTAATTTGATGAGTCATAGCAGGCTTTTGTCATGAGCATCTTTTCAGCTTTCAGTTTCTACTTTTTGTGCTGTGAGCAGAAAAAAAACAAAAGAAATTTCAAGACTGTCTTGATTGATGTTGGACAAACAAGTTTTTTTTATAAAGACGATGCTTCAGTGACAGAATGACAGGACTGATCAAGCAATCAATAGCTGGTGCTGAACAATGTAGAGCTGCAGTGACATGTTTATGAGGATAGACCAGTTGTCTTTGCTCAGCCATATTATGTAAGAAGAAAGCGCTTTTAAAGATTATTTACATCAGTTTTTATAGACGAAAACAGCTTATTTTATTTAGTTCTTCGGTTGTAACAAGATTCTAGACATACTGTCTAACACAGTCAGTACCAGTGGCTTTCAGAACGAGATTATTATATAATATTTTAAAGTAAAGTGTAAATTAGATTAAAAAAAATTATGTAATAACAATAATGAATGAATCTCACTGACCAACAACACTCAGACTGAGATTTTTAAATGATATTGCTGCATCAAAATAATTAGATTTAAAAGCTCTCTATTAACAAAACTATTGTTACTACTTTATATTAGAAAAAAAATGTGACCAGAAAGGACAAAAAGAGTTTATACACATTGTGTCTAACATTTATTTTAAGAATTCAAACTACGTATAATGTTTACATCATAAAGTGTGTGATCTTTTATTTCTTTAAAGCTTAAATTGATTTATTTTTTTAAATTTGGGGTCTTTTTTTCCCTCTTTCCTAACACTAAACAAACCTGTATTAATATATATTTCAGAACTTCTCTCCTCCAAGAACAAAATGTATTGTATATTCTTATTTAAACAAAGGTGTGCCTTTCAGGGTTGTTTGTATATAAACATGTAATAAACTTTGTTAACTTTTGTTGCTTCTTTTGCAGTTGCTTATTTTTAAAAAAAGCCTTCCAGATTTTTTTTAATGTTTGAAACCAGAGAGAATTAAAAATGCTGCAGAGACAGAATATTCAACTTGAGCTTTAATCTTCAACCTAACTGAAGTTTGAAACTATCTCTCTAAATCGCATATGTCAAACTCAAGGTTGATTTCCATCTGCCCTGTGGAAAAAAAAATTTTGAAAGTTGTTTAATACCAATGGTAAACATTAAAGTCTTTAAATTTATGATTAAATGCAACAAAATAAATTTAAAAGGTGAAAGATAAGCTGTTGGCTTTGAGTAACTGAGCAATTTAGTGGGCTAGCACTGATGAGATTTATTGGTGTTTGTTTACTTACTGATTTTTAAAAGCTCCACACATTCTGTAGTTTATTTCTTAGGTGAAACGTGATATAGTGCTATAAACTATTGTGTGATTATTTCTGTGATTAAATTCATGATTTTACATACAGACTGGTCTAGATGGCTAGACAATATGGTCACCCAGAGCAGGAAGTAGGCCTGTGTAAGCAACTACATGCCTGAACACATACAGTATTCAACACTGAATGTAAAAGAAACAGAAGACTTGACCCTGGAACAGGAACGTGTGCCCCCACCCCAGTCATGTAGTGGGTGGGGTCAGATAATGAAGAAGTTGTTGGCTGAATGCAGGCAGAGACAATTATTAAACCAGCATTCCAGCCCAGCGCGCTGCTGTGGTTGTATGAATTCTTTTTACATTCAAGTATTGGCATATTTTCTATCTGGTTATGAACACGTACTAAGGTTAACAAACATGCCAATTTTCTTTCAGCACAGCATTACTGTCTCAAAATGAACTGCTTTAAAGCCTACAATTACCATAAACATCTCAGATAATGTCCTGATGCATCTCAGTAATCCAGGTAAAAAATCAAAAAGAAAAAAATTGTATAGGTCTTCTGGACGGGTTCTTCTCTAATGAAACGTTTCGTCTCTCCTCCAAGAGACTTCTTCAGTCTGAGAGTTTCAGGCAAAACCACTGTTCAAAAGAATGTCCCAACACAGACGAGCTACATCTAATGGCCAGAAC